GTTGGCAGTGGCCTCTTCCAGCAGGATAATGCGTCCCGCCACACTGCAACAATGAATGAAGAATGGTTTGAGGAACAACAACGAGTTTGAGGTGATGACTTGTCCTCCAAATTCTCCAGATCTCAGTCCAATGGAGCATCTGTGGGATGTGCTGGAGAAACAAGTCCGATCCATGAAGGCCGATCACCTCACAACTTACAGGACTTAAAGGATCTGCTACTGACGGCTCGGTGCCAGATACCACAGCATACCTTCAGAGGTCTAGTGGAGTCCATGCCTCAATGGGTCAGGAAAAGGGGGACCTACTCAATATTAGGCAGGTGGTCATAATGTTATGGCTGATCGGGGTATAAAACAATGGCTGACCCATGTACATGTGTGTGGGCGTTAAAACGCATTGGCGTGCATGGGTCCTCGACACGCTGGTCTGTTTTGCTGCATTTCAAGCCCAACTTTAATCTAAAGTTTGTTTTCTTTTCTTTTGCTTACAATGTCCCCCGGCATGGACTGGTAGAAATATCCGTGTCTGAGTTTTCAGATCAGAAAGGGGAAACGAACATTTGTGATTCGCCAAACAAAAATGAGCAAATCCATTCTCTGATCTGTAAACATTCAATGTCAGCCAGCTGTGCTTGTACCGATTCAGCCCCTGAACAATGTAAGGAAGGATCACTGTGCATGTTTGTATCCATGGGGGGGGCAGACACTGTAATCTGTATAGAAGTGAAAGCTCCTGCAGTGCTTGTTGACCTGCTACACACGGAACGGCAGAAGAGATCTCTATAGCTGAAGTGCTGCCCCCTTGTGGTGAAAAATCACTTTTATTCACATATCACACTTGCATTTCTTTTTCTTTTCCAATGCAGGGACGTATCCCATGTCTATGTATAATCCTTAATAAAAGCAAAACCATCATGGAAATAACTGATACAAGAGATAGAAAGGAAACAGGAATAAAGCTGTCAAACTTGAACTTGAAAGGCTAAACTCTGGAAGAGAAAGTGGGTGGGAAGGACGGCTATTACACTAAATGATGTATGCTTCTCTTATACTGGTGTACTAATCTGGAAGGATAGTTGAGGCACCAGGTAGTGGCATGAGGCACTGTCTAGAAGCATGAGGCACCAGGTAGTGGCTAGACTTGTGCGCCGTCAAAAAATTTGTTCCGTTTCGTTTCGTAATATCCATTATTTCGTAATTCGTGTCCGAAACTCAATTCGGATACATATGAAATACGAATTTTCGTTAGTTTCGGCACATTTTCGTAACTTTACGAACATTCGTTATGATGAAGTTAAAAAAGCAAAAATACCTTTGTTAATATTGGAGTCTATGTGGTAGTTGTTTTTGTATCCGAATTTCGTATTTCGGACTTTAAAAAAAACTACCATCAACTCCAATATAAATGTACTTTGCATTTTACCTTCAATATAACGAATGTTCGTAACGGAACGAAAATACGTCAACGGAATTTCGTATTTCCTGCCTGTATTTGTAATGTAACCCTCAGCAGCAGCTGATCCGTATTTCGGATTAAAAAAAAAATCTTGTCATGTTGTTCAACCTCATTTACAGGGGTAATATTAGTTCCCGTTTCAAAGAAATTCGGATCCGAAATTCGTTAACGGAATTTCGTATTTCGGACATAAATTCGGAAACTGCCATTCGGATTTCGTATGCTTACGAATCTACGAATTTCAGGAAAAATCGTACGAACTTCGATTCGTAACGAAACAAATCGCACATGTCTCGTAGTGGCATGAGGCACCAGGTAGTGGCATGTGGCACTGTCTAGAACAGTGGTCACCAACTGGTGGTCCTTGAGAAAATGTTGGTGGTCTCTGGGCCCTCCACAAGCATTGCCACTCCTTCAGGCACACCCGCACTTATGTATGTATGTGTATATTATATTCTCATATGTGTGTGTGTGTGTGTATACATAAACACACACACGAGAATATATTTATGAGGAAACAAAGAATATATATATTTGAAATTCATATTAGTGGTCCGCGGGATTTAAAATGACGAATTGAGTGGTCTATGAAGTCCGAAAGGTTGGCGACCGCTGGTCTAGAAACACGAGGCACCATGTAGTAGCATGAGGCACTGTCTAGAAGCATGAGGCACTGTGTAGTGACACGTGGCACTGACCTCTGTGTACATGTGGAAGCAGATGGACAAATTGTGTGCCACAGGAGATTGGAAGAGCAGACCTTGCTTAGTACGTGAGGAAGCAAAAAAAATGCTTGTCCTAATGGATGGATGAATAGAAGCTCAGTGTGCTGACTGATGGATGTGCAGGTGACAGGCAATGGATAGACAAGAATCCAAGATAAGGCAGGATGGATGGATAAGAACCTGCATGTGTGGCTGGACCATGTCCTGTATGTGTTTGGCAGGACATAGATAAATTCCTCCTTGTATGTGGAGTAGATGGACCATATCCTGCATGTGTGTTTGGCAGGAAATAGACAACTGGAGTCCTCCTTGTATGTGGAGTAGATGGACCATGTCCTGCATGTGTGTTTGGCAAGAAATAGACAGATGAGGTCCTCTGTATATATGCGGTATGATGAACCAGGCCTCAGGTGACCACCCCGCCAGTACATGCAATGTATAAACCAGGACAATGGAAGGACCAGACCTTGAATATGTGTGTCAGGCAATGAACAGATCAAAGCTTTTGAGTGTATGTGATTTCACGGACAGATGAGGTCATGTTACAAAATACAGAGAGAAAAAGCCCCATATACATGGTAGGAGACAGACGGAGGGTATCCTGGGGGTATCTCACAAGGGCCTTCTCCTGCCTCCCAACCTCCCCTTTGGGTGCTCAATACCTGGATACCTGCTGCACACGTTCTATCACCATGTATAACATAAAACATATTTTTTGGGTGTACAGGATGCCCAATGTATCAAAAGTCTGCCAAAGATATAATTTCTTGTTGCTCACAGCAACCAATCAGCATCTTCGATTCACTTTCAAACCTGGACTATAAGAAATACAGTTGGATACTGATTGGCTGATACGGGCAGCAGGAAATGTTACCAGTAGCACACACTTTATATAAAAAGCTCAGGTTGTCTCGTCACCACTATCAGAAGATCTGGGATTATAAAGGATTATAGACCAATATAAAGGCTGAAATAACTCATAAAACAAATGTTGATTGGCTTGTTTTATTTACATCCACTGTACAGAGAAAGGTGTATCTAAATCAATATTTACAGCTTCTGTGTATATTCAGACAAATCCATTTACAAAACATCAAATGGTATAAAAAGGGGAAAAAGTAAAACTAAAAAAAGAAACAAATTGCATAAAACACAGGCCCAGCTTTGTTACTTGTATCTAAGGCTTTTCCTGAGAAGGAGCAGAGCGCCACCTAGTGGAAAGCTGGAGAAAGGCACAAAACCAAAAAATGATCTAAACCCAGTCACTAAAACCTCCTATAAGCTGAAACTTCTTATCTTCAGCCTTTCAAATCTGCAGCTTTCATAAAAAAAAGTCCTTGGGGCTCCTGCCATGATTTTCCTTGTACACGCACTTCCCATACGGGGTGACAACTGTCTCTTAATTGGGCTTCTGCAATGTCACCCTGTCACATGCTTCCATGGTGCAGACTATAAACAGCCACACTGTGCAGTCACGGTCCATTGGATGGTCCATTGGATGGTGACCATCCCGCACAGTGTTGCATGGTGGATGGTCCACCGTTGGATGGTGACCGTCCCGCACAGTGTTGCATGGTGGATGGTCCACCGTTCGATGGTGACTGTCCCGCACAGTGTTGCATGGTGAATGGTCCACCATTGGATGGTGACCGTCCTGCACAGTGTTGCATGGTGGATGGTCCACCGTTGGATGGTGACCGTCCTGCACAGTGTTGCATGGTGGATGGTCCACCATTGGATGGTGACCGTCCTGCACAGTGTTGCATGGTGGATGGTCCACTGTTGGATGGTGACTGTCCTGCACAGTGTTGCATGGTGAATGGTCCACTGTTGGATGGTGACTGTCCTGCACAGTGTTGCATGGTGAATGGTCCACCATTGGATGGTGACCGTCCTACACAGTGTTGCATGGTGGATGGTCCACCGTTGTCACTATGATGATGATACATGTAGACAGGAAGTGGCTGAAAGATTCCGGAGGAGGTCAGCAGCACCGAGAGGTCACAAAAAAAAAAAAAAAACAGAAGACTGTATTTTATAGAAAAATAAGCCTGGAAATTGTTTATGAAACACGGTGCTTTAGCAAACTGTTATCCAATCAGGGTTTACATCTACTTGAATTACTGTGCTGGAATATTAAAGGAATCCATTTTTAAATGCCCTGATGAATGTGAACTGTTGTCTCCAGCAGTGGTGCCACTGCCCCAAAATACACGAGGGGGGTGTGGGGAGTGTGTCCATCAAGGGTAACCTAATGTTATTTTTTTGCTGTCTGTGCCCTGCTGGGGAGATATCCCTTCACTTCCTGTCCTGGAGGAGATGCAACAGGAAGTAAAAGGAAATCTCACCAAAGGTGTATGGAATTCTAATGGTTGTGTGTCCCCATTGGAGGATTTTTCTTTTCCTCAGCTCTTGCACTCTGGGGACAACTCAACGTTTTTGGCCTCTCCCCGACCTTCTGTCCTGGTGACACTGGACTCCGGTACAGACAGAAGGTGAATCTTCCCAGACAAAAGGCCTAACCCTTCCACATCCAAACTAAAGAAATACAATTGCCATTGGAAACATTTTAACAATCCCACAATGTGAACAAAACGGAGGGAGCGGATGGAGCAACGATGAGGTCCAAAGTGCATTCCCTTACAGCAGCCAATCGGGTCGGCTATACTGAAGACGGATCAGTCAGATTGGTTCTGATTGGTTGCTACAGGCGATGACACTGATCACAAATCACTTTTCCATAGAGATTGCCCCAGGTGGATTTTTGCTGTGCTCATGGCCGACTTTTTCTTGCAGGGTTTTGTGAAATCTCCTTTTCTTAGTTCAGCACTGACTCCTTTCCTGGTGACCACATCCTCCTAAATCATCATACTTCTTCCGCTTCTGGAACTGGCCCGGTCCTGAAAGACAGAAAATGGTTCATCTCCATGGCCTCATTCACACACATACAGTATATGCATCAGGGCTCCAATCACGTGAAACGGCTGGGGATTCCTGCGGGAGGAACCTACAGTTTCTTGCGGCAAGAATGCCGGGTGTGCCCCGTTCAGATGCGGCTCCTATACCCACTGAAGTGACAGCGGCAGGGTGACAGCGGCCGCATCTGTCAGCGGCAGTTCTCATGTAATCATACATGGAACAATTACCTGTAGATTAGGATAGAAAATTGTCCTTGGACACAGACAGATTGCATCAGGTTGCCGACAGCCTGTCAATCACTTGAACGGGCACAGTAGCCGCATCTGTTAGACCCACCTGGAATTCCTGCCACAAGAATCCGTAGGTCCTTCCCGCAGGAATCCCCGGCCGCAGCCTAAAGCCCCGCGTGACTGCAGCCTTAGAGGATAGCTATAAATGCATAAAAACCATAGCGGTATGCCCCTTTAAACTGAGCGCTGAAACGACTGGTGCATGCTACCAAAGCAACGCACAAGGAAAATATGTCTCCAGCACACGTCTTGCGGCTGCTTGGCGCCCGAGAAAGTGGAACAAAATATTTCAGTACATCTCTGCAATACCTGCGCATCGCCCCATGTTTTGTCTCTGCGAGTTCAGAGAAATACCCGGTGATCTTTCAGAAATCCAGTGAGCTCATAACTTCCTGTAGTGAGCCGACAACGCTGCCTCTGCTGCACTGAAATCCCAATTGGTGTTGTCAGCCCTACCCAGTTCTCTCCTGCTCGGCTAGTGTACATCTCCTCGCTATGTTATGGAGATGTGGAAGGGAGGGGGGAGTGTTCTGTAGAAATAGGATCGTTTTTTTTTGTCTTGTTAGAGACCAACTCTGAAGTAAGTTTTTATTTCTTAAAAAAGGTTCCCCAGATGCTGTACAATTAAAAAAAAAAAAAGGTATCTCTGGTTGTAATACTCACCTTAAATCAGAGCTGTCCCCCGCAATACTTCTTCTTCACCACAAGATGCCCTCAGTCTTCCAGGCTGAATGACACCCAGGGTAGCTTAACCTGTGTGCAGGGCGTCATGACCCCACCCCTGAGTGAAAAGTCGCCATGGTGCCCCTTTAACAGTGTTCCAGAGAGTGGAATTGACGTCATCACTCGTGCTACTCTTTGTATCAGTCAACCACCGGGAGAAGAGTTAAAGAGGACCCTGCAGTGTCATGTGACCAGCCTGAAGACCTTGTAAAAGGTGAATATTAAAAAGAAAAAGTATGAAAAACTGCTAGTGGGGGTCACAAGGGGGGTGGATTTGGGGAGTCTGGAGTTTGTCTTATGTAAGTATGCAAGCCATCAGCTCCCATATACCTACCTATCCTTACAGATTCCCATTGAGGACCCACATAATTCTACCAATTCGGGGAAACGTTCCAATTTTGGCAAACTCACCGACTGTCTCTCTGCAGCCGCTCGCTGTTTTTTGCTTTTCCCTGTGGCAACGTCCAGAGATTTGTAGCTGGGAGGTTTTTCCTCCGGCCAGTCATAGGACTGCGGGCGTCTTTCCCTCCTGCCGCGGGCGTACTGGCTTTCTTCATCCGAACTCCAGGAATTGCGTCTGTAGGGGGGTGAATGACTCCTCCTTCGCCTCGAGAATCGGTCAGGACTGCCTCTCCTTGACCTCTCCGGAGACCTTCTGCGATCGGAGCTTTGGTTGGAATGCCCACGGGGGTCATCATAAGCAGAGTCGTCGATAGGATTGGCACGGTCAGATCGGCGGGGAGGCGAGGGGTCTCGTCTTGTGCGGCCGTCATTTTGTTGCCCTCTCCGGTAGCCATGGGACCGGTCGCTTCTCTGCCTGTCGTCTCTCCAGTCGCTCTCGTTGGGGTAGGAGTCTTCCTGGGGTCCGTTCCTCCTCCTGTCTCGGTCGCTCTCTAAGGCGTCCCATGAGTGGTGCCTGCGGTGTTGGTTGGAGTTACTGTTTCGATGAGAGCTGACGATATGTTCAACGATTGGAGGAAGCTGGATCACCCTGCGATCTACTTCGCGGACCCCAACTTCGCCCAGGGAAGATAACATGCTGGGGTGGTGGCTGGCCCCACTGTAGTGAGGGCCCGATGACAGCGGCTGGGCTGTATTAAAGTTTTTGAGCTCTTTCTCCAAATAGTCGAGAACTTTGTTATTGGAGGGTGGGTAGCTTGGCTGTCTGGCCATCGGAATGCTCCCCTGAAGTGAGAGATCTACAAAGGAAGAAAAAAGCAAATCCCATCTAAATCATTTTCCTTTGAAAGCTCTCTCTGTGATTGGCTTGGAATCTGAAGGAAGTATGCAGGGTACAGGAGAGGAACGTGGAGGGTATAACAGTGGGCAGTGTGTGCAGGAGAGGAACGTGGAGGGTATAACAGTGGGCAGTGTGTGCAGGAGAGGAGTGTGGAGGGTACAACATATGGCTGTGTGTGCAGGAGAAGAGTGTGGAGGATATGAGAGCAGGCAGTGTATGTGTAAGTGCAAAAGGTTTGACAGCGGGCATTATGTACAAGAGAGGAATGTGGAGCTTATGACAGCAGACAGTATGTGCAGGAGAGGAGTGTGGAGGGTATGACAGTGGGCAGTATGTGCAGAAAAGAAGTGCAGAGGGTATCATGGTGGGCTGTATGCGCAGGACAGGAGAGCAGAGGGTATAATGGTGGGCAGTATGTGCAGGAGAGGAGTGCGGAGGGTATGACAGGGGGCAGTATGTACAGGAGAGGAGTGCGGAGGATATGACAGGGGGCAGTATGTACAGGAGAGGAGTGTGGAGGGTATGACAGGGGGCAGTATGTACAGGAGAGGAGTGCAGAGGATATGAAAGGGGGCAGTATGTGCAGGAGAAGAGTGCAGAGGGTATAATTGTGGGCAGTATGTGCAGGAAGGAGTGCAGAGGGTATAATGGTGGGCAGTATATGCAGGAGAAGAGTGCAGAAGGTATAATGGTGGGCAGTATGTGCAGGAGAAGAGTGCAGAGGGTATAACGGTGGGCAGTATGTGCAGGAGAGGAGTGCAGAGGGTATAATGGTGGGCAGTAGGTGCAGGAGAAGAGTGCAGAGGGTATAATGGTGGGCAGTATATGCTGGACAGGTGTACGGAGGGTACAATGGTGGGAAGGACAGGAGTATGGTGGGTATAACGGGGATGCAGGCCGTGTGTACAGGATTATGGAGGCATGCGGTCTCTCTGTGCTCTCACCTTTCTGAAGTAAGGGGTTGAGCTGATAAGAAGAGTGCTGAGAATTGCGGTCGGCTCCGGCATAGAAAGGTTTCTCCATCATCCAGGGGACGGGGCCTTGCATCTGCTTCATGTACCGATGGCGTGCAATGGCTGCAGGAGAAACACAGAACTTTATACAGAGAAGGCGGCCACTTGTAATACCCTCAGGTGGTCGCATCAGAGTGCGGACAGTGATTCCTCTTCTCACTGTACCAATCACATTCTTGTTTTCATTGTGCAGTGATTCTGGTTGGTTGTTGAGGGCAGCAGGAACAGATTAGCCTTCAAGCATGAAAGGTGACAAGAGTCTGGAACATGCGCCATTTACAAAGGAGCACCAGGCACAGTAAAATAACTAAAAATCTGATATAATCTCAGAACTGGAAATGAATATTTCAGAGAGAATATCTCAGAGATCCGAGGATAGAGTCCGGAGATCTCAGGATTTCGGGATAATATCTCAGAGATCCGAGTATAGAGTCCGGAGATCTCAGGATTCCAGGATAATATCTCAGAGATCAGAGTATAGAGTCCGGAGATCTCAGGATTCCAGGATATTATCTCAGAGATCCGAGTATAGAGTCCAGAGATCTCAGGATCCCGGGATAATATCCCAGAGATCAGAGTATAGAGTCCGGAGATCTCAGGATTCCGGGATATTATCTCAGAGATCCGAGTATAGAGTGCGGAGATCTCAGGATTCCGGGATAATATCTCAGAGATCCGAGTATAGAGTCCGGAGATCTCAGGATTCCAGGATATTATCTCAGAGATCCGAGTATAGAGTCCAGAGATCTCAGGATCCCGGGATAATATCTCAGAGATCCGAGTATAGAGTGCGGAGATCTCAGGATTCCGGGATAATATCTCAGAGATCAGAGTATAGAGTGCGGAGATCTCAGGATTCCGGGATAATATCTCAGAGATCAGAGTATAGAGTTTAGAGATCTCAGGATTTCGGGATATTATCTCAGAGAGCCGAGTATAGAGTCCGGAGATCTCAGGATTCCGGGATAATATATCTCAGGTTTTGTTCTTTTTCCTTGGCCCATAAGCTCCTCTGTAGCCACACACTCAATGTCAGGGATTTGGGATTGGTCACCATCAGAACATACGAGACACATTTGTCCACTTTTTGAATTGTAGGTATCAATTTTAAGAGAAAATGGCATGCAGCTGAGCCTGAGGAAATGCCCCCTCTAACCTGCAGTTAGACTGATATCATCTCAGCCTAGGTAAAGTCACTGGAGTGGAGCCCAAGGGTGGCTTTTCAATGATGACCAATATTTTTGAGAAATGATACAGCTGCTCTACATTGTGACATGTCCGGAATCTATTCCTGCAGACATACAAAATTACAGAGTGGTCCACCTAAAAAGAAAAGGCCGTACCTTCCTCTGGACAGCAGCATTTGGTAGGGCAGCAGGGACATTGGACGTAACAGCAGCAGCAGTGGGGGCAGCACTGACACCAGCATATGGAAACGAAGAGGATGAGAAGAAGTCCTCCCATGACGATGAACATCACCGTCAGCCAATCTGTGCAGGACGAAGAGACGCAATGTTACACCCAGGAACGAGGACATTTCCCATGCTGGTGTGGGAGGGTTGGCCCCCATTGTACTTACGTAGAACAATCAGCTTCACTTCCTTATCGGGGTCCCCAGCCGTGTCCCCCTGGGCCTCCACTGTGCAATAATAAACCCCGTGGTCCCACCACATCACCTCGCTGATGACCAGGTCGGCTTCTACGGACAAAGAAAAGAGAAGACTGGTTAAGGAGCTGCAGGCGGGGGCTCCAATGATAGATGACTGTTCAGGAACTCACCCAGGAAGGGTCTGAAACTCAAACTGTCTGAGTTTTACAACCTCAACCAATCAGATTCAAAGCTACATTAGAAACAGACTCTTGGAGGATGAAGGAGCAGACCACCACTAGGCCACCCGACCACCTTATCCCATCAGAAGGCCGTCATAAGATACAACTGTCCATCTGTCTGCTAGACACCTGCACATTCCGCTATACAATGATATCAGTATTTGTTTTTTCCAAAAAGTTTTTTTTTTTCCCCCAAAAGTTTTTTGTTTGTTTTTGATATCATTGGAACGGGAAGTGCATCTCCAGCTCACACACTTTTTAGTTTTAGTTTTGGATAAGGTAAGGAAAAGTTAAAAACCCTGATTGGGGAGATTTCCCTTTGCTTTCCGTCCTGTAGACACAACAGGAAGTGAGAGGAACTCTCTACTAAGTTACAGGAAATGCTTTCTTGGTTGTCATGGCAACAAGTATCCCCACTGGAGGCTTTCCTTCTCTTTTCCTGTTCTGGTGACAACTGAAAATTTTGGATTTTCCCATCATGGCGGTGATCACCGGGACAAACAGAGAGGGTGAATGTCTCCAGCAGGGACACAGGCAGCCAAAAAAACTAGACGGGGGTGGGGGGTACTTTTGGCTTTAGATACACAAAGGGCTTCTTTTATAAAAGGGAGATTCACCCTCTCTATTTGATCTGGTGAATGTTATCACTGAAAGTGAAAGGAAATCCCAAATTCTGGGCTGTCACCAGAGAAGGAATAGATGGGAAATCTTCCAATGGGGACAGTTCTGGTGACCCCATTGACCACCAGGAATTTCACTCACGTTGTTGGGAGGGAAATATCTCCAACACAGACACAGGAATATTTTTTTTTTTGTATGGGCTATGTGGTATTGGATATGTGGTATAGCCTATGTGGTATGGGCTATAGTCTATGTGGTATGGGCTATAGTATATGTGGTACGGGCTATAGTCTATGTGGTACGGGCTATAGTCTATGTGGTACGGGCTATAGTCTATGTGGCATGGGCTATAGTCTATGTGGCATGGGCTATAGTCTATGTGGTACGGGCTATAGTCTATGTGTCATGGGCTATGTGGCCATATAAGGTCAATGATGTCATCACAATCATCCCACCCCTTTGTTTACATGCATCTGCGGTGGGGAATGCCTGTACTGCGATTGAATGGAAGGAGGTGCCCATGGCACTTCCTTATTTGGAGGACTGAACCAGGTCCAAACACTGGTCAGCGCTATTGAGGAGGAATCTGGTGACATAAATACCAGAGACAGAAGTGATTTCGGATGAACCCCCAAGGAGACAGCCAACAATAACATTGACAGAACACAAGGTGGCAGCGTTGACTGTAATAATGATACACAACCACAAGGTGGCAGTATTTTCTGTAATACATACACACAAACACTAGGTGGCAGCATTGAATAATACTGCAGTTATACAACTTTCACCCAAGATTCATGCATTTTCTAATTGAATCCTGTGTGAATCCTATTTCAAAGTTGTGTTAATCTTATTAAAACATTTACAAACAGTCCCCTACGTCTGCATAGAAGACCATACTTGATTATTGCATATTGCCTTCACATTGACTTTAAATGAGAAACACGCTGCAACGGGTATAATGTACTTTTAATGAGCACAGAGTTTAAAGCAGAACTCCGGGGAAGAATTTTCTTCACACTTGCAGTGCGGCTCCCCCTTCACTGCAAGGATTAACTACACGCTTCCATTCAATCTTGGACAACGCGCCCGCTGTGGGCTCGACATACTCAGGACGCATCCCTGCAGCCACAGATAAGGCCGTGCGGCCTGCGCTTAATAAAACCGCTGGTGAGACAACTAAGTAGAAAATTGTCAGGGATCCCCAGCGTGACAAATGGCGCTTCATCCGATCCTCGAGGCGCGGACGCGTCGGGCTCCAGTAAACCAGCCTGAGATGCATCGAGCAAAGAAATCTACTTACATTACATCTGGCTGCTAAGATGTAAAAGTGCGCTGTGCGGCGTGATGTGACGGCGGCCTGTGAGCACGTCTCATCAATCTCCACTGAGGATAAAGAGGAGAACGCACAGACACTCTGCATCCCGCTGCATCCGACAATCACACCGACCACGCCTGAAAAGGTCCAGGTACTACTTTGGGCCATTTTGTTGCGCGTTTCCATTGGCATACAGCCAAGTAGCCTTCGGAAACGCGCAACTTTTTTACCGCAAATCACGGTAAAAAACCGTGCGACAGACGCGCATATGCAATATGCCTAGGTGTGAACAAGACCTTACAGTTTAGACAGGAAGTTGGTGTATCTGCAGCACATATATCATGAGATTGTGACATCATCACAGGTAACATTGTATCGTTGTGCTCAACCCAAAGTACATTTTACTTCCATATTCTGATTATCGGATTTCCCGTCCAGATTTGTACATACGCCCAATTCTCACAATCCGGGAATACCATTCGCGTTGCTGCTTATGAGGATCGCAACGCATTTTAACCCCCAGGCAGATATAAAGGACACAGCTCTGTATCCGAATAGACAAATCAAAAGCGCCAAATGGAATCATCAACGGAAAAATGCATGTAAGGGATTACTGGGGGCGCTGCCCTACTTCAGCCAAGGGAACTGGAACACTGTGATAAGAAAAGAGAAGGGCGCCCCCCCTGGTGCAGATTGTTTTTAATATTGAAAAGTAGCATAACAGAGTAGAATCATACTCACAATGGTGGACCAAACCAGAGCATTCAACAAAAACGTACAGGACATCAGTGAGAAGCTACACAGTCAGCCTGTGTGCCAGCACCGAATGCCTGCGTTAACGCGTTTCCGGGGTCATGCCCCCCTTCCCCCGTTCTGAGGGAGGGGGCACAATCTGCACTAGGGTGGGCGCCCTTCTCTTTTGTTTTGTCACAGCTCTGTATCCATTCAGAGATAATGAAATGTGTTTTTTTTTAAAGGTGATCATCTGAATGTGGACTTGCTATCAATCATTTACAACCCCCTATACAGCTCAGATTGGAGGAGAGAAAAGCAGCACAATGGGCCAATTAGTTGTGCTGCAGTGCTAACAAGGAGCACACTTTACATGCATCTGCGGTGGGGAATGCCTGTACTGCGATTGAATGGAAGGAGGTGCCCATGGCACTTCCTTATTTGGAGGACTGAACCAGGTCCAAACACTGGTCAGCGCTATTGAGGAGGAATCTGGTGACATAAATACCAGAGACAGAAGTGATTTCGGATGAACCCCCAAGGAGACAGCCAACAATAACATTGACAGATGTTATAACAAAGTCTATTTGTTATATATAACAAGCATAGAAATCCAGATGGACATCAGCCGCATGAGCCACAAACCACGCTATCCATACTTCCCTGCCAGACAAGGCTGCACTGTTAGACAGTATTTGAGTATAAAAGACACATTTCCATCAAGTTCAACCTTTGTGTGTCTGTGCGTACTGTGTGGCAGAGCTGTGTAAATCTCTGGCCTGTATGGACAGAGATACAGATCTTTGGCAGGTCGCACAGCTCCCATATGTGTATTTGATCTGTTTGTCTGGAGTTCAGCTTTAAGCCGGCTGCAGTTGTTAGTGCTGAAGGGTCTCAACTCTTTATTACTGATTTCTTCTAATTTCTTATCAAAAGTTCGGCTCCTCCCCCTTACCCCCTCTAAAAAGAAGGGAAGGGTTCAAACCGCTGTCAGCATTTTTTTTTTATGCCTGGGCCCCCACTGCGGAGATATCCTGTCACTTCCTGTCCCGGTGACCAGTGTCTAGCAGAACAGGAAGTGAGAGTACATCTAACTAATAGAGACACAGACAGCAGTCCACAACGAACAGATGTTCTAACTCAGGGGTGAGCAGCTTTGGTCCTCCAGCTGTTGTAGAACTACAACTCCCATTAAGCATTGCAAGACTCAGAGCCACAGGCCTGACTCCCGGAGAGGCAGAGGCACGATGGGATATGCCGTTAAAGCAGAGCTGGAGGGCCGGAGTTGCCCACCCCTGTTCTGCAGGAAGGAGAAGTGGTCACATGCTCCCAAATACCCGGAAGTACCAGGAATCTTCAAGGGCTTTGCCAGGCTACCGGAGAACGCCGATGTTCTATCGATAGTCCAAACTTATCGAGTTGTGGGACCGCATGACTTCCGGTTGCCTTAGAAGTACGACTTTTGGGCAAGAAATTTGTTCTGCACGAGCGTCATCCGCGGCATTGCCCTATAGACATGCACCAAAGCAATAAAGTAATAAAATGAAGTGGGATCTGAGTAAGCCAGCACGTTATTAATCTCATGCGCCCCACTCAATATGGCCGCCGCTTGAGTGGGGCAAGTCAGATTAATAACGTGCTGGATTACTCAGATCCCACTTCATTTTATTACTTCATTGCTTTGGTGTATGTGTATACGGCAATGCCGCGGATGGCGCTCGTGCAGAAGACGTTTTGTGTGCAAACTTCGTAGTTCTAAGGAAACTGGAAGTCATGCGGTCCCACAACTCGATAAGTTCGAACTTTCGATCGATCACCGACAATGGGCGCAGTGCCAGGTTTACTTTCAGCATGGCTACACTTACTATTCTGGATGGTGATCTTGCGCTGGCGGTAATCCATGCCCAGCACCGGCTCGTTCTGCCCGCGCCTCTGGATAACGATGCGCACTTCCCTCTGGTTATCGTTGCAGTCATTGGACGGATCTTGCTTCATGGAAAGAGATGCCTGGTACGCTGCAGAAAAAGAGAAGACGGCATTCAAGGGGGTCACGGGTGGTCATTACAATCCCAGTGATCTTTATGTTGTATCTACAATGACTGACACTCGGGTCTACTTGCTGGGTGAATCATTCTGACATGCGTCCTGTGCAGACGGCACCACTTGTGATACATTCCTTCATTAAAATGTCGGCACAAACAAATCTATGAGAGGCCTGCTGATAAACTAGGTGGGCGGAGCTGCAGCTTCCTGACCCCCTTTTATCAGCTTTGTTTTTCATCTACAAAAGAGAAGTCAGGTGAAAAGTCGGGACGCAGACCTTCAGAGAGGACGGAGTAAGCAAAACTCGTGTAAAAAGCAGAGTGCAAGAGTGCGACTGCTCCGATCTATCAGACGGCTGGTGACAACATGAAAGCCGGGGGCCAGTGGTGTGTGTCTCCATGTGACAGAATCATGGATAGGAGAGAAAGGGAAAGGAGGGGAAAAAAGAGAAAGAAGTGGGAGAGGTATTGAAGGGAGAGGGGATGCAGGGAAAGGTGAAAGGGATATTGCAGGGAGAGGGGGTGCAGGGAAATGTGGGAGAGGTATTGCAGGGAGAGGGGGTGCAGGGAAAGGTGAAAGGGATATTGCAGAGAGAGGTAGTGCAGGGAAAGGTAAAAGGGATACTGCAGAGAGAGGGGGTGCAGGGAAATGTGGGAGAGGTATTGCAGGGAGAGGGGGTGCAGGGAAAGGTGAAAGGGATATTGCAGAGAGAGGTAGTGCAGGGAAAGGTAAAAGGGATACTGCAGAGAGAGGGGGTGCAGGGAAATGTGGGAGAGGTATTGCAGGGAGAGGGGGTGCAGGGAAAGGTGAAAGGGATACTGCAGAGAGAGGTAGTGCAGGGCGAGGGGGTGGAGGGAAAGGTGGAAGAAGTATTGCAGGGAGAGGGGGTGCAGGAAATGTGGGAGAGGTATTGCAGGGAGAGGGGGTGCAGGGAAAGGTGAAAGGGATATTGCAGAGAGAGGTAGTGCAGGGAAAGGTGAAAGGGATATTGCAGAGAGAGGGGGTGCAGGGAAAGGTGAAAGGGATA